TTTTAAAAAAATACTTCATTATATCCAGGTATTCATTATATCCAGACTTCGTTATATCCAGGTTTACTGTGTATATAACAATATCAATATTTATAAAAAAGCATTAAAATATATAGATTGAATTTACTTGTATCTAATTAGTAACTAAAATTTATGATTTTATTAATAAAACTATTTTATATTTATTATAAAATAATTTGAAATACTAGTATATGTATTCATATCTGGCTTATATTATTTTAAAATACTGGAAAAAAAATTTTACATAAAGTTTTACAAAAAATTTTTTTTAATTTTGCTCTAGTAAAACAAGAAATAATAAATATTGTATAAAGATTCTTAATATATATTTTTATGAAATTTATAAATTATTAGAAAATAAATAATAGCTATATCAAGATAATAATCTGAAGCATTTTTATAAAACTGTTCAAAAAATATTATTGATCTATATATCAATTTATTTGATCTGAATTCTATAGAAAATATATAAATAACTTGAATATATTTGTGGCGTTTTATATTTAAAAAAAAATTTTTTTAATAAATAATACATTTCTTTTGTAGAATAAGTTTAGGTAACTAACTAGAAATATGATTATTTATTAATTTATTTGTTTCAAAATCTATATTTTGAAGTCTAGTTATAATAAAATAATAAACTTTATCACCAATTTTGATAACAACCTAATATAAATTATAACCTTCTTCTAATAAGTAATAACCTTACCCTCTTTCTATAGATAGTTATTTTGAGAATATTTTGTTTGTACAAATTTGAGTATATTTTTACATTTTTATATTTTTAAAAAATACGCTATGCTACAAGTCACACAACAATAAGAATTTTCTACTGTATACACTGATTCGATTAAATAATATTCTGATCTAAATCTACGTGATTAATCGTGTTTCGTTCTTATGCATATAATTGAGACAGACATTTACAGATTTATCTTGTTTAATGGTTTGGATTAATGTTGTAAAAGTATGTTTAATTAGATTTCTTTGTTCATTTAATTTCATTTTTTTCATTTAACCAAAGTATTCAAAGGTGCAATTCATCTTGTTTTTACATGTTTTTAGTAACACATGCGATCAAAGAATCTATTCCATATGTCTATCTATTATTAACCATATGATAGTATTAAAAATATTTCGACTAGAAATCAAATATAATTAAGGATTATTCCGCTAGCAGATCATGCGGGATCAAGTACTGTATACAGTAGTCTTGATATATTTTTTCATTAATATTGAAAAAAGGTTAAGAAAAATAAATAAATATATAGCTTTGCATGACAAAAAATACTAACAACCATCAATGCTTATAACAATATTTCAACTATGAGAACATCATCAGTGGTGAATTTTCATAATCATCACTAAATTGTCTAACAAGTTGATCCACATATGGTTGTTCATCTAAATTGCAATAATTTCTTAACATCCTTAACCTCTTGCGAATCGACATATTAAATAATTCCTGTTCAAACATAGTCAATCATGTCTGCCATTCTATTATCATAATCTGCTGTTTCAATATCGTAATCAGTAAATTTCGCTTTCTTCTAAAAAAGCGGGAGTGGTTTCATAAAGTAGTCGACAGTTATTCCTAACAAACTGTGCATCTTTTTTCCTTCTTCAAGTACAAACTGATTAATTATTGCCAGCGCAACACCAAAATTATTAATTCTACATATTGTTAATTATTTTTTATTATCCGCAACTATAAAAAAAATATATAATCCAGCGGTTTTTGCAATCCGCCAAAACAACCATTGAATATGTAGGATAACGTTTATCCAGTAAAAACAACTCTCCTATAGCTTGACCTTCCTTATAATTATCCTTCGTTTTTTTAAATTTAACCCAGACACAAGGTGTATTACTTGGTCCAATGAATATAACAGAGCCACCCGTTGAAATGACGTTTGCTCCTTGCAATGATCGTTGATGATTCTTTTGTGTATGAACATCTTTCACATGAAAACCTCTCGGTAAATTTAGTGCACCCTCAAACCATGTCTTAACATTGCACATCTGTCAAGATTCCTCACTCTCCAAATTCCATGTAAACGGCCGCATGACACGGAATCAGGCGATTGGAATTTTTCATCATCTAACTAAATAATCGATAAGTGATTAATGATCAATGATAAAGAAATCATTAAAAGAGGTTGTTTACTTCAATGGTCTTTAATCCAAGATCATTCGTTATTTCATTAATTCTTGTTTAATAAAGATTGGATATTGAGATCTGATTAGCAGGTCTTATCCTAGAGAATTCTTCTCGCATTGCATTTTTTACAATTCTGCTTAAAACCTCTGGTATTTCTTCATGTTTACGTTTTAATGTCTCTGATAAAAACTGTAGTTAGTAAATGTCAAAAAGCATCTCATTTTAACCTGTTAATCAACACACTTATTTAATAAATATGAATATATACCAGGTGTGTTTGCGATAACTTGTAGGAGGGGCATTATAAGTAGTTTCAAATTTTTTATCAATAATTAAATCAGCACGTAAATCTGCTTCTTCACTATGTTTTCTTAAAGCAATGTGGTCAATACCCACATTGTCAAAACCAGGTGATAACTTCTTATTGATCGATTCTTTTAAGTCATGCACATCTTCTCCATTAAAAATAATCTTTGCTGATTGGTTATCACCGCACTTGACCCAGATTATAGGCGAGCTTAAGCAAAAATCCTCGAAATCTATTTATGCAAACCAAAAATTATTACTCCTACAAAAAAAAAGTTACTTATAATAAGTTTACTTACTACCAGATAACTCCGTCCGCAGTGGGGCACTTTCGAATATTTCAATATTCCTATATTATGTTGATGTACCAGATGTACCAGATGTGCTGGCAACAGTAGGTGGTGGAACGTCTGCCGCAAAAATATTTTATATTAATAAAGTTTCTTCAAAACAATACTTAAAGAACGTTATCATTACCTTTAGTTTTTTGCTTAGACTTTCATTTTTTTAGTGACATCTTTCCTCATATTGAATATGTATGGAAATGAATTGCAACAAAAACAGGGAACAAAGAATTTGGTCCAATTCCTTCGCGTCAGTTTTATTTATTTTAACCTGAGATACAGTATACAGTACAGAGGGGTCGCATAAAATTAAGCCGATGATCAAAAATTCTATACCATTGCGATTTTTAAAATTAATAATGTCTATTAAAAATGTGCCTACATCATACTGCGCATTAATAAAATGCGTTTGTTTTGATTTTTTTTTACTATTTAAGTAAAAAAATTTTTTTTTTTAAATTTGACGCATACACTCTAATGGGATGTAAAAATGACCTCACGGACGGCGTACGCCATACAGTAGAAATGCTAAAAAAAGAAGGCATGTCTGCTGCTAAAATTGCGTGAATTATTGGAAGGTCTGATACTACAGTTAAACACTGCCTCAAGTGGTTAAAATCAACCAATAATTCTGGCTATTTGGGGAGAAAGAATAGTGGTAGAAAACCAGTGATCGACGATCGCTTCGAATGATTTATTTTGCAAAATATTAAGTTGAATCCAGAACTGAGAAGAATGCCAAAACACATATTAGTTACTGAATTTCCATCCAATCCTATTTCTCATTATACTTTGACTAAAATTTTTAAAAAAAATAATGTCCATTCCTACATTGCATGCAAAAAACCATTCATTAGCAAAAAAAATTGAATCAAACAATTAGATTGGGCAAAAGTCCATGAACACTGGACTAAAGAAGACTGGAGAAATGTTCTTTGGACTGACAAGTCCTCCATTAGTACAGACTCTTATGGAAAAGTTCGTATTTGGTGTCGCAGGGATGAACTCTATGATCCAAGCAACTACCAAAAGCAGATGACAATCAATTATGGTATAGGGATGCATGAATAGATACAATTTGTGCCATTTGATTCAAGTTTCATCTCATATGAATGGCAAAGAATATGGGGACCTTGTTTTGGACACTATTTATTCAATTGATTTGGTCACAGAAGAAGGAATACTACAAGAAGACAATGTGCCCATTTACAAGTGTAAATTTGTGAAAGAAATTAAATCAGAACTTGAAATCATGACTATGGAATGGCTGCCACAATCACCAGACCTTAGTTCAATTGAAAACCACATAACAAATCTGATTTAAAAGAAGCCATTACTGTGGCATGGGATAGTGTCAAATTTGATAAAATCCTTCACTACGGTCAACTCTTGATAAAAGAAACTGTGTACAAATAGTCTATATATGTTGATTATCAATGCATTAATTGAAAGTAGTTACGATCATCAAAAATTATCCGGGTCCCGGTTTACTCGATAAAAGAAAATCTGATACACGGGGGGGTTTCGAAAAAATCCAAAATTTTTTTAAACGTAAAAAGTTGCTACATAATAAACATTTTATTTTATTAGGCATATATGGTTTTGTGTATTAAGTAAGTATAATCTAGACAACAAAATACGTATATAGTGAAAGTTTCGCTAATTTATAACTACATTTTATTATTAACGTTTAGGGTTTAATTTCGTATGGCAATTTTTTTAATTTTAATTTTGATTATTATATTCATATTATTTCTATAACTAGTGTTTTAACAAGTAATCTATA